TTCTTGAAGAATAAATAAAAATAAAAATAAATAAATAAAATATTGTTTTATTATAACGTTTAAAAAATATATATTTCGCGATTTAAAATAGGGGGAGGGGGGGGTGTTTAAACAACCGAAACACTTGCCTGCAGGCTACGCCACTGCCTTATATTATATATAGGCTGCAGCTCTTTTTCGACACGACGGATGTTTTATGCGTTTGCGAAAGATCTGACGATCTCATAAGAATCGAGACGTCTCGCTTCGACCCTAAGAAAAACGGCTGAATCAGAGATGAAGCCCGCCCGAAGTATTATTGCAGGCACCTACCCCCTTATTAATAATAATACGTTCGTCGCGCGGTGGCCTCGGGTCGTCGTTTTTGCTCCGAAAGGATTTCCGAGGGATTTACACGACGTAGTTTATAACAGTATTAATATACGACGTTGCAAATTAGCTGGCGCGCGTGTTCTTTTGACAAACGGTCTCCCCTTTAAATGCGTCCGCAACTGCGTAGGTGCGGTTTTTCGTCGAGGGCGCTTGTCCGGTCACCGACGCCATCCCCCCTACAACACTTATATGCAATATTATACAGAGTGCTCCAAATGACGTCCCAGTTCAAATGATCTTGACTCCGTGGGTCTTGCCGGTCAAGTGGAACCTGCAGAAAGAGAATCTCTCTATATAGTTATTCAACCTCTGCCAATAACACTGTTGATGAACTGATGGAAAGAATATCGGTCAGTTTTGACAAACAGTATACCCCTTCGGCCTTCACTTTAGTAAGTGTAATGCGTCTTCATCTAAACATTTTATATCGTTTTAAAGACAACACATTGTTTAAGGTCAACCATGGTGACATTTTCACGGTTAACACCCTGTATAGTGAACAGTATCATCCACCGCTGAGGTCGTTACGTATACCCCGGCTACACACCTTGTACTATTACGCGATAGACCGTTAAACACGACCTATACCATGTACTCGCCTAACATATTATTACTATTACGTAGGTAGGCACCTGACCTAAAAGCACCGGGCTCGCTGACCAATTATTATACACCACGTGCAATAATTACGTCGCGTCACTGCAGCAGGTCCGTCCTTGTCATTAACATCACCACCGTCGCAGTCTTTTTATATCTACCTATACAATATATATATGACGTATCTGTAGTAGTACACGACGGTATAGTATAATAATAATCCTTTGCCACCGCTCTTCTCGTCATCGGGTGGTTGGCAGGTTGTCGGGGGGACCACCACCGCACACCCATCCGACGATTATGAATGAACGGTCTTGGGCGTGACCGCCACCGCCGCGAACCCTTTTGTCGATTCACCGCCACTATTTATATAAAATATTATTGTTTAAAATATGCTCCCGCCAGATGTAAGATACACGCATTAATCAACAGTAAAAAATATTTATTATAAGAATTAAGAGTATTATTATTATTATTATTATTATTATTGCTTTTGTATTATTATTATTATTGCTATTATATTATCATCATCATCATCGTCGAGGTCGTTATTATCGTTGTTCAGGTATTATTATATTGCTGCTGTCTAGTTATTGTGACCGACGCCGTTGCGACGGTATTATGCACTAGTTATACGCAATGGAAACGGTGGAAAAAAACTGTTTGATGGATTAATGATGGTGGGGGGGGGGGGGTAAAGAAGAAATGATTAGACCGTTGCGAAAAATATACGTAATATAATCATCCCCATGGATATGATTATATGAATAGAAACGGCGTAATAGTAATATACAAAATTATTATTATAATTTACATAAAGTGAAATCGTATTTTGTTAATATAAAACAAAAGCTGTATATTTGCATTGTGTTTGTCTTTTTAATAAACTAAAAAAAAAATTTTAAAAAAATGCACGTCAGACGATTCGACAGCACAATCACTGATTATAATTATTACCTTTGGGCTATAATAGTGTGCTGCAAGATTATGTAATAATAATGAAATTAGAAAATAAAACACTGTACAATTCATATTATCTACTTCAATCGACTGTATATATATTATGTTAGCTCACGTACAATAATTTAGTAAGTAAAATATAGCACACGTAGTAAAAAAATTAAAAAAAAAAATTCATAATCATGTACAGTAATTTAACATAATATATTATAATAATAAACGATGTACCTGCATTACAATAAATATCATACAAGACGTGTGACTGTCTAAGAAGGGTATTGTCATAACGTCCCGGTTTCAATATTACTCGGAGTCTCCTAAAAATGTATATTAAATAACATGCCTATAGTAACCGGTACGCCTAACTTTTATAGTTTTTTAGAGTACACAAAAAGGTGGGTAGGTAATAAAAAAATGTATTCTTATTTTATGTGTAGTAATTATTAAAAACCGTAAAATGGTGCATGTTATACATATTTCAATTTTTTTAAACATTTAGCATGATTATAGTAGACATTCTGAAAGATTAAAAATGGCATCGAGTTTGTTAATGTTAATGCAAATTCTTAGCATAATTTTATAAATATTTATCGTTATAATAAAAGGATACATATTTAAAACACATTATTATGTTCTTGAAATGAGTATTAAATTATTTAAATTTTGATTATTATATTACCTATATTTACACAATTACATTATTAAATGTGCATAGGTACATATTGCGTTAAAATTACAGACTACTTAAGTAAAGACAGTGCTTAATTAATGTATAATGGTATGAATAAAAACAAGTACACATAAAAAGTATCAGTTATTTTCAATAAAAAATGTCGTTGTACCAATTATTATAAATTTATAAATATTATGAATGAGATCACTTGATAACAGTTTCAAATAGGTTCTTTTTAAATAGGTATTTTATTAATATTAGGAACTTTTAGTTTATAACCTTCTATTTCATATAGTACATTATATTATGTAACAAAATAATTTAATAAAGGGAGTTTTTTGAAACACATAATTATTTTAATTAGTTTTTTATAATACATATTAAAAAAACATAATAATTATCTTTTCTTTTAATAATCACACATTAATTGTGAGTCATTTTAAAAAATACATACACATTTTGTTAAGTATATTTTTTTAGGTATAGGTATTATATTAATTATTGCTTTGATCAATAGGTGACAGATTAAATAATTAAAGTATAATAGTTATAATATAACTATTTTCCAATATACTATAGTTATAGACTATACACTATATAGTGAATACTATTCCTGGAATGGAATACATCATTACTATCATAAATTAAATTAATTTAAAATGTATTCATAATGTACAATTCTAGTTTTGTTAAAATATATGTATTAGATACTATATTAATTATATAGCTGTAGTAGGTATTATAACGCTAATACGCTTTATGGGGATAAAAAATTCATTAAATTCTTACTTTTAAAATATACCCATAGACCATAGTGTTATAACATATTCTTTTTCTACAACTTTTTAGTAGGCACAAAGTAAAAAATAATTTTGTTTCAGTGCATTAACATATTTTGCAAATAAAATTTTTTTGCTGTAACAATTACAAAAAATCAAATCTACATTGCTACTTACTAAGTACCTATTTAATTATCTTCAAAAAACTTGATATTGAATATAATTGTTTGCTTCGATGGTATACTGAGAAACTCATAAGATACAGAATATAATAATATAAAATCATATAATTTACAATAGTTAGATATAGTTTATTTTATGGTAAATAACTATTGAAATTGTAGGTCTTATTTGATTTAGTGTTGGTCTTTGCAGTTGAACAGGGTAATCTTTATAACTGTTGGAAATAAAATTAAAATAAATAAAATATTTCACATAAAAAACATACTCACTTTGAGAATATAACTATTATTCAATATTCAAATCGTTGCGAACGTTTATTTATCTTATACGTTACTATAATATTAATTGCTCCTAAATTAATAATTAAACTAATTATTCAGTGTCTTAAATAGGTGTGCAATAAGGAAATAGTTTATCTATTTAGCTTATGAAGTTAAACCGGAAATACATGACAATTTACCAATAAATCGGAGCCAAAGTGGTAGCTTAAAATGCATTATTCATAATTTACTATCGAAAAGACCGTTGTTGAAAATTATTAATTTGCCTTGGAGACATAATATGAGATATACTGTTTAGGACTTTTATTTATATATGTAGGTACATGTATATTGTGAAGGGCATTGCTGATAAATATTGAATACCGTTGGGATTACCGAAAACACTACCGAGATCGGTATCGATCATTTGAATGATATATTTATAGTTTGGTACAAGAATGAAAAGGAAAATATTTGAATCGAATCGTATCGTATAATTTAATCGATTTTCCTGCATCAAGTATGGAAACCAACTGTTTGATGTTGTCCAACTATTATGATAAGTCTGTAGAAATTTAAAATTTAAATATAAATTGAAAAAGCGAACAAAACTGTAAATCTATTTCGTTGCGTTCATTTTAACAAGTATGTAAATTTCGAACTGAAGTAACCATATACATATATAATTGTTTACATATACAATTGTTATAACATATACATATATAATTGTTTACATACACAATTGTTATAACAATTGTATATTTATATGTTTACTTAAGTTCAAAATTTACATACATGTTAAAATGAACGCAACGAAATAGATTTACATTTTTGTTCGCTTTTTCAATTTATATTTAAATTTTAAATTTCTACAGACGTATCATGATAGTTGGACAACATCATACAGTTGGTTTCCATACTTGATGCGGGAAAATCGATTAAATTATACGATACGATTCGATTCAAATATTTTCCTTTTCATTCTTGTACCAAACTATAAATATATCATTCAAATGATCGATACCGATCTCGGTAGTGTTTTCGGTAGTCCCAACGGTATTCGATATTTATCAGCAATGCCCTTCACAATATACATGTACCTACATACATAAATAAAAGTCCTAAACAGTATATCTCATATTATTATGTCTCCACGGCAAACTATAAATACATCATTCAAATGATCGATACCGATCCCGGTAGTGCTTTCGGCAATCCCAACGGTATTCGGTATTTATGAGCAATGTCCTTCACATCTGCCAGCCTGTGTTTACAGGCATTTTTACTGACAAACGCTTCCAATTTTCTTATCCGGTGGCAAATCTCGTGGCTTATGGAGGCACTGTACTTGGACCCTTGGCCCAAAGCTTCCATGTCTGATAGAAACTTTTCGCGATCTTCAATTTCTAATATCACTGCAAAATTATAGTATGTTTTCAAATTGTATTAATATTATTATTAACTATTATTTATTGTATTTTATTAAATAAATATCGGAAAAGTGGAGATACAATAAACAATAATATTATAGTAATTTTTTTTATCAATTTTCTTTTGTGTGTAGTCTTCATATATTTATTAAAATTTATCAGCTGGTGAGTTCCAACAATTGAAGATGAAAGTGTGATTATAATATTCCATTTCTGTCGTGGTGCCAATATTAAATAAATTATTTTGTAGATGTTGTACAAATTACGAGTAATAAAATTGGTTATACGACAAAATATCTCCATTAAAAATATCTCCGTCAAAATATCTCTACCAAAATATCTCCAGTATAAAATATCTCCGTCAAAATGATCTCCAATACAAAATATCTCCCGATTTATGCCATACCTATCTGATAGAAAAAATGTTATTGACGCTGATACTGAGTGTACTTTGTACTTCCCTATCATGGTCCGCTTGGCGCTTACCAATACAGATTAAGTTTCAGATAGGTAATTTTATTTGATTAACCTAATCGATAGATACAAATTTAGACGAGAGAGCCGGAACTGTGTCACACACTGACACTGCGTGACATTGGTTTGTGTTACGTGCTATTACCTAAATATGCCTTTAAAATTTGTTAAAATTAGCTACGAAACTTGGTTATCCTATAAAATCGGCAAACATTACAATTCATGGCGTCTCTGGGAACTCATGTACACCAATTGGTGAAATTACGGCTAGCATAAAATCCAGATTAAACGCGTTCGAAGCCAGTCTTCAGTTTTTTATAATGCAGAACGTGGCAGGTACACTACCTACAGTATATCCCGAAAAAAACACAATGAAGGTGATTAACAGCAAAGAATACGCAGATCCGGATGTATGTTCAACGCGGAAAATCGATATAATTGTGGGAACTCAAGTGTTCTTTCGACATACTTCTATGTATTGGACAAATTAGACCCGCAGGCACTGATGCCATTTGGCAAAAAACAGTTTTTGGTTGGATTTTGTCAGGGCATATAACTTCTACAAACCCAATGCACTGTTTGTCGGCGACAGCAAGCACACTCGATCCAATCCAAAGGCAAGTTCGAAAATTCTGGGAGCTAGAAGAGGTCGTCGCCAGTTCAAGGGTTTTCAACGGAAGAAAAAAGATGTGAAGAACATTTTCTAAACACCTATCGGAGAGAGGAGAATGATCGATTCACATTGGAATTACCGTTTAAAGAAAATGTAAGGCAGCTGGGAGAATCTCGAGTGATGGCGGAAAAACGGTTTTATACGATGGAACAAAAAATTGATAAATATAAATATAAATCGGGAGATATTTTGTATTGGAGATCATTTTGACGGAGATATTTTATACTGGAGATATTTTGGTAGAGATATTTTGACGGAGATATTTTTAATGGAGATATTTTGACGGGTCACCATAAAATTGGAGTAAAATACCATCTCCCGGTAAATAGTGTAAGGGTAAAAGTAAAATTCACCGATATTTATTTTACCAGGTAAATTTTTTTACCTTTGTTAAAATCGAGTCAACATAATATTAAATGTTTAAACTAGCGAGTAAAACATTATAATTAGAATTTTATAATTGCATTATATCTAATGTATCATTACTCATTAGCTTTGAACTTTTAATATTCGATTTTGATATTTGTAGAACTTATTTTAAGTTAAGTTTTGAAAAATGAATATTTTAGATAAGAAAATTATTAACATACAGATTAAAAATTAACCAATCCACTGGGGGTTTTTATTTAATAATTAGGGCCTATGTTGAAAGGTCCAGGGGTTCCCGATCACCCCTTGTGCGTACACCTATGTCCCTTTATGTTTAGGCTACACACACATACACACACACAACACACTATATAATAATATAATAAATACGTTTATAAATTCATTAAAGGTCTCCCCTAAGAGACATTTATGGGATGCTTGGTGTATAGTAAAAATGAAAAAAAAACATTCATTCGTACGAGCGTGTCACAGCTATATGATAAAAGTTTTGAATATGTAATAAATTTAACTTGATATTTATATATGTCATGCATTACCTATTTAAAAATAAAAAAAAATATTTATCAAACCTAAACAATTTTTTTTATCCAATTTACCGTAATTGTTTTTGTTATTTTTAATTCCACGTCTCTAAATTCACATTATTATTATTTCGTTGGGCCACTGTCGGGATCAGTCATAGAATTAGGTATTTTTCGAAACTTTTACATCCATGTGCGTATCTCGAGTGTCATCGAACGAATGAATACCATAAAAATATATTATAGTATTTGAAGTAGTTGATTGTTTATGGTGGTTTTTATTTATTTTGTAAGCCGTTAACGATTTTAAACAAACAGACGGACGAAATAGTCTCTGATGCATTAATTTAATTTTAATAGTTACGAGATTTCGGGAAATCGTGGAAATTGAAACACGTCCAAAATCGTTTGAAATTCATTACTATATACGCACCGGGATCGAACAGTATGATATATATTTTACTAATGACGTCCTATACACACTGAACGTATGTAGTATGTATACTCCCATAAGATTTTGAAAGCGCAAAAAAAAAATGAAAACAAATAAATAATTTTAAATCGAAAACGAACGACACACGTCTGAAGGCAAAAACGACATAATATATACATATATTATATTATATCGTATAGATGCAACGGTTACCTAAATATAATATTATAATATTATGCTGCATAAGTATACAATTCACCCACCACCCACCACCCACGTCCATAGTAATAAGCAACACGCGGCGACTTGTGTTCGTGAATTGTGTAAAGCACAATACAATATTATTGTTATATCGAAAGCAGACATAATTGACCCGATATCATAACCTAACCTAACCTAACCGATATCAGTGTTTTTGAGGCATCTCTGGAGAGTTGTTAGTTTTTTTTAAAGTTTATGATTTATACTTTATTTTCAGAAACTGCAGTGTTGAACGAAAACGATTTCACATGAATATTATACTATATATCTACGTAATATGACCTTTAAGTATATTCGACAAAGTATTATATCGATTAGACAGTGATTTAGCTAAGGTATACCCTTCCACTCGTACAAAAGAAGAAGAAAACAAATTTAAGTCTTTCGCGGAAAGCGTATGTACCTATTATGACAAGTTCGTTTAAATCTCCTCTAAACTGGACGGTATAATGCGGTACATAATGCATAACCTAACCTCATTATTTAGTGTATAGTGTATATTTGCCCGTTATATACTAGATACAATTTAGTGGGTATTAAGACGTCATCGATCTCTCACTAACTTCATCATCTATATATTAAACATTTATATAAACTTGGCTGTCATGGCCGAATTACATAACTATTCCATCCGAAGGATACCGTAATAGCTGCACTCCCTTGTATTGCACCCAAAGTTCCGTATATGGTTTAATATTGTTATTGCTATTATAGTTTAACGTTAAACAAAACACTCTTTTCCCATTATTCCATAGTACGCACTGAACATGCTTTTCCCCGTTTATTCTTTTAGTAATGATTTTATTCCAATTCGGAATTACTTCGATTTTTATTGCATTTGACGAAAGGCGATACAAATTTCAATTTTCCAAACGATAATGGACCCTTTTTCTATAAAGTGTTAAGTTGATGATTTTTTTTTTTAATGTTGATATATCAAAATCAAAATTCGAACGAGTAGTTTCTGAGTTATTAATATTTATGTAGGATAAGAATAATAATCCTTAAAAAATGGTTTAAAAATAATATAAAATATAATAAATAATATTGGATCTATCTTATTATACTCTGGCAACTTTTACAAACCATGAAATGTAAATAGATTATAATGTTTAGTAAGTACTAAAATATTTAAATCATTATACCCCAAATATTCAAATGTCCAAACCAAATTATCGTGAACCGCTATTACCCTTTGAACACGTAGGGAAATATAGTAAATTAAAACACGATATAGATAAGTTTGAATTTCGATTTAGATAAAACACAATTTTCAAAAGAGTCGCCTGATTAACAATTTACAGTAGAAAAAAGGTTAGTAAGTAAAGTAAACAAGAATATTGTTAAAAATTCTGAAATTAGAATACATTTGAATAAATTTATTATTATTAAAAAAAAAAAAAAAAAAAAAAAAATAGGAAGAGTATCGATGGCTAAGAGGCCAAAAGTTGTATGTCCCAAACACTAAATTTTTCGGGAGAGCAGTTTTAAGATTTTAAATTATTCTACACCAAATAATTTGAGTTGTAGATTTTTGTTTTTAGGTGTTGCAACTGATTTATTTGTAAAATATTCTGTAGATCACATAAATTATTACTTTTAGGTTTTAAAATTTTTTCAAACGTAATTATAATGTTTCTTTAAAATTTAAATGGGATTTGTTATGAATGGCAATTATAATATATTTTTTTGTGGACATATAAGGTTTTGATGGACATATTAAAAGTTGTTAATTTAATATAAACTCTAATTAATTTATTACATAAATAGTTAAAATGTACGTAACACTTATTTTTTTAATATAAAAAATTCAATTTGTTTATAAAATTGCAGTAAAAAAGTAAAAAATATAAAATATATTGGAATTTTTTATTGAATGTGAAAAATAATAAAGTAGTATTTTTCATCAAATTTTTAGTCAAATAAAACCAGTGTTTAATGATATTTTATGCTAAGTGAAGATATCATATTATTTAGTGTAATTTAAAATTAAAAATTTGTATTATTTAAAATAATACGTCCGGACATATTATTTTTTTATAAATAGATAAACAAAATCAATATTATCTAAAACATTACACGTCCAAAATTCAATAAATTGTTTTTGATAAAAGTAACAAGTCCGGACTTGTTATATTTGTCCCCTTAGTATTTAGATTATGTCAAAATATTTATCGTATGTCCCATTAAATTAGGACTTGTTATAGGTGTGCACTAAAAAAACATATCTTGC